AAAACCTTTGGTCCCCCCAGATACTGAAAGATAAAACTCCACAGCAGCAGCAGCAGCAGCAGCAGCAGCAGTGATGGATCTGGTTATAAATAGGCCATCATTTTATCCAACTGCCCACGCAGGTGGTAGATGCCTCCACGCTGCGGTGCAGCCCTGGAGATTTACTGTGTGAGTGTAAGAAAAAAACAGTGTTGAGGATGAGTTGAGTTATTTAAAGGAGAGGATGAGAGGAAAACACGGAGAGACAGGACAGAAGTGGAGAGGAAGGGAAGGATGTAAGGAGGAAATCAAAACATCTTTGGGAAGAAAAAGTATAATTGTCTGATTTGTATCCTTATTTCTTACTCAGACCCCTCCCGAAGAAATCTCTCATTATTCTCCCCACCTTCCCAGACTCCCTCTGTAATATCACACTGCCGTTGACCCCTCCCTCCCCCACATATGGCAGCCACTCACTTATCTAATACTGGTGACTCCGCACCCACTCAAATTCATGGATTTATTCTCCTGCCGTCTGTCTGTCTGTCTGTCTCTGTTTTTTTGTCATATTTTTAGTGCATGTCACATGTTACCATGGCAACCTCACAACAGGTCTAATAAAAAAAAGAGAAGAACAGTCAGGTCATAGATGGAGGAGGATTGAATGAAAGTACGGTGTAAGTGGATGGTGTAGTCGTTCCTGATGTTGGTGTCGAGAACAGTCGGAATACAACTTCAAACGGTACAAGTATGTAGGTATGTGGGTCAAAATACTAATATTCATACTATGAAGTAGTTTCATGGTTGCAGAGGATGTACTGTTTGGTTTGGTTTTCCTTGTTTTAAGTGACCATTGACTATAGAGTACATGTAGTATTTATATAGTTTTGGGCTCTAACGTAATGTCAAATCAATGTTTGCTTGTTGTTGATGTTCCCGCAAAACATTTGTCCAGGTACTCTGTAGAAACTCTCACTTGTACTTCAATCTTAAATGAAACCTTAGACCACATTTTCAAATGTGAAAGTGAAACCAAGCGTCGTGAAACTGAGGTTAAGTTTAAGGTAAAAGATTACAAAGATGTACACAAGCATATCTGATGCCACTGGGAGGGTATGTTGGGATGAAACCAGACAACAATGCGAACAGGCAAATCTAATACAGGGAATTAAACCAGCAAACCAGTTGTGTTCTTGCTGTTAGACAAGAATGGAACAGTTTTTTCCAACGCTGAGAGACATTTTCACCTGTGGCCAGGAGGCTTTTGTCAGACACAAACCTCCACTATAATTATCTGTGAATGTAGATGAAGCAGGTGGGGGGGGGGTGTGTGTGTTTTCTCCAACCCCGTCATTGACGAAGAAGATTGAACATAAAATGACAGACTTCAGTGGGAATAACAGATGAAAATGTCTCCGTCACTTTCATGTAGGTGTGTGTGTTTGCAGCAACGGGCACCTGTGGATTGGTAACACACGTGCTTTTTGTCTGTGGATCAAAGACTGGCTCAGCCTCTGAACTCTTCCCCAGCTGAAACCCTCACACGCCGACCCAGAAACAAAGCCGGCCGCCTGCGTTTTCCTCTCTTTCCCACTGTGTCCCTGCTCGCAGCGGGTGTAGGGCACAGTTGGACCGAGACCCAGGTGAGAGGAGGAAGTATTTACGACCACGTCACCAGCTGGCTATCGCCGGGGCCGCCGCTTTGCCATGACAACAAGGATTTTTATTACTATGGAAACGCGAGAAGCGAGTGACGGGGAGATGACACAAAGGAAATAACTGCTGAGCAGGAATCCAGGGACATGAAATCTGTTACAGTTTCCTCAGTGCAGTACATGGTTGTGTAGTGTGAAACCTACTGTCTCTGAGAACCATGTCGTCATGTACAGTACACTGCGTGAGGAATTCAACATTTTACATTTTTGTACCACGTGTTACATGTAGAATAATAACAATTAAGTATTATTATTTTATTATTATTTTTATTATTAGGTCTGTTTGTTGGGTCAAAAAGAGAATGTTTGCTGGTGTTCCAATTTTTTCTTTAAATATCCTGTGGACATTTGAGTTTGGTATCATTGAGGGATTTTATAAATAAAACAAATAATTAGTTATTATTATATTATTCCTTTTGGAGAACCGACCCTTAAACTCAGCAGGCGGTTGGAGATCATCAGAGGATCTTAGATGTGTTTGAACAGCAGAAAGCAGCAGCAGAAAAAAAAAAAAACTTGGATAATTAATTTTGGTTTTACTTTCAGTCCGCTGTATTTACTATTTAAAATGCTGCAAAAATGGCGTTGCCCTTAAGTAATCCAGTTCAACAACATTCCAGGACTGCAGTACAGTGGGCTCCAAGATCTAAATCCAGTCCTCATCATTTTATCAAAGGTGAGTCCGTGAAATTTTTTTCCAGACATTTAACCTGTCTGTGGGGCAAAAAACATCTGTAAATTACACTTTTATGGAGGGACATTTAACCAGTCTGTGGGGCAAAAACATCTGTACCTTACACTATTATGGAGGTTTTTTATGTGTGTTTTAAAAGGGCTGTATAATAATAATAATGATGATGATGATGATGATGATGATGATGACATCTACATCATTAATGGACCCCCTGCTGCTCTCCCTTCCTGACTCTCACCTGTGAGCTGACAGTCGTCGTTGGATCCTGCAGAGTCTTCCTGGTTGGGGCTGAGTGGTGGGCTGGCAGGGGGACTTGTGCTAAAACTGGCGTAGCCCAGGGATGAGCTCACCTCGCTGGGCTCACAGCTGTGGTTGACCGGTCTCTGGACATCCAAAGATGAGGACAGCGAGGTACGCTGCTTAGGCTGAAAGTAAAAAAAGCAATGAATAAACGGTTCATTTCCATGGACTGATTAATAACTACTCTATATCGCAGTTCAAGTTTGAATATGTAAGGTCAACCGTCCGCAGTAATGGAGAGTGCAAAGGATATTCGAAGAAAATTGCAGAACAGCAGCAAAGTTGAAAAGTCAGATTTATAAGACAGTAGTGACACCTGCTAAGACGTACGATTTGACGTTTCATTATTACAAGATCGAGTGTTTTCTACAGTGAAGAAACTTTCTTCTTTAACTAGGAAATGTCAATAAACCAGAACTGTGTTTTCCAACCCTAGAATTATCAGTTCTACTGTATGCTTTTCTACGCAGACGACTTCATTTTCTTTCACATGGCTAAAGTAGAGCTTAGGTGTTTCAAAGAGACAAGGATGGAATTAAACCGCAATTTTCTTCACTTGGTATGAATCATTTTATAATAGAGCCTTTCAACTATATATCAATCATGACGTCAAGAAGTTCTTTCAGAACAGCTAAATCTTTTCTTTATTCACAAGCCAAAAGAAAAGTGTCTGTGATTATCTAAGGCATTTCAGCAGTAATACAATATACAGCATTTTAGAACCAACATTGTCCACTCTGTTTGCTGGTTCAAGTTTGAATTAACTCTAAAACCAGTATTCACCTCTATAAATAGAAATACAGTGCACTCTTATGCAATACCAGTTGAGTGACTGACCGGACCAACTATCCAGCACAGTACGGTCTTTCAGTCTGACACCTGAACATTGGGTCGTGTTGTAATAACACAGAAACAACATGAATTATGCAAGGCTCCAAAAATGAAGCAGAACGTGGCGGTGTGATACATATAACAAAAAAAAAAAGAAAGAGAAACAGAAAAACGGGACACGGGCATATAAAAACAGCCTGGAGCCGAGAGATGGAGTGAGAACCGGTGGCAGAGGACGAGTGCAACTGCAGACTGGCACCTGGTAAACACATCTCCCATAATGAGGCATTTGCAGCTCTCAACAACCTGCTGCTACGCTTCGCAAACAGCTCAGGCAGTCGACACTCTGCTGCAGTGTGTGTGTGTGTGTGTGTGAGTGAAATAGAATAATCTGTGCAAAGCAAATGAATGGATTGCAGCATAAAAGAAAAGAAAAACTGAAACAGTGAGAGAGGGTGATACATGACAGAGGTAACCGTCATGTGACCTTCAGTCTGTGACTGCAGGCACAGAAACTCAACCTTGGGTGGAATAAGAGATAAGGCGGAGGGACAGAAGGAAAATGAATGTATCTAAGAGGAGTGATCGTCTTCTTTATAAGCTTTGAGTTGTAATTGGGTTTTTTAAAGAACTAAAGAAAGGATCTAGACAGAAGTGAGATGAAAACAAAAGCAGGGGAAAAGGAGAAGTAACAAGCCGGGGGCTGAGATCGAAAAATTTGTGAGTGATACAAAGTAACTGGACTGTGAAAGGAAAAAAAAAGATAAAGGGACGGACACAGCAAGGAAAACAAGAGAGGATGAGGATGATAAAAAAAAGTGAATACTTGATGTAGAACACACTGAAACTTCTGAATTAAAAGTTCTGATTTTCAAAGTGACTTTCCCACCGAGAGCTTGTGAACAAACAAAGGTCAGGTCAGCGGATTTACACACACAGAATCTGTTATGAGGTAATAAATAAAAGTGTTGTTTTTTTTTCTGTGTTGACTGCATACATTTCAAACTAAAAGCGCAGCAGAGGAACAGATGCCTCCTCTAACGTCCTGACCTGAGCGTCCACAGCGGCAGAAAGAGCAAGTCGGTCAGCGGGGATTAATAAAACCACAGCGACGTTCCACTGAGGCCATGGAAGTTTAAAGCTCCAATAAATCAAGCGGACTACATTACAGCAGCATGGCAGGCCAACAGAGAGCAGAGACAGTGATGTATGAATCCAACAGAGACTAACACTGACGGAGCACAGGGGTGACATCACACCACCTGAGGAAGCTGACAAACATGTTGTTCATGGGTTGATTATTTTACTACAACTGGATGGATGGATGGATGGACGGATGGATGGACGGACAGACGGACGGACGGACGGACGGACCGATAGACGGATGGCTGGATGG